GTAGTTTAGTGTTTTGTACCCTAAGAAACACTGATGCATTAATCAATAACACTAATCCACAGCTCCTCTCTCTGCTCCAGAGGATTTAAAGAATATATATCCCAATGCCACAAAAATGCATCAGTGACGTGGTTGAAATCTTGTCTCCAAAAAACAAAAAACTGAAACATGACGTATCAGTGACTGTGTGTTTGATGTGGCTCTTTGCAGTAACATAGAACAAATGTGGCTCTTAACCTCTGACTGGTTGGCCACCCCTGGTATAGAGAGTATAGGAAGACATGATCCATTTACACTTGAAGCGTTATTTGTCTAAAGTGTTCATTTATGTGCATTGTCCCTATTGAAATAAATGATTAAATGAAAAATGCTATCTATTTTAACAGATAGAGTTACAAAATGCTGCCAGGCGTGTCGTTGAGTTGCTGAGAAGTGCCTTGGCTGAACCAACTTCTNGCCAGAAGCGAAATTTTGATGTATTTTAGCTATATCTCTGAAAGTGAGGGCAAGCCTACGGACACCACGAGGCCTGTCTGGTAAGAAATGTATTAATTTTTATTTAATACGAATTCTTGTCATTATTTTATTATCTGTTCTCATTGTTTAAGAAGTGTGTGTTATGGTTATGGTCTCGTGTGAAATAAAAGCACAATAATTACATTTAAGACTGTTTCCCTTTTTTAAGAAAGTATAGAGAAAATAATCGGAATCGTAATTCTTGACTTGGGTATCGGTATCGAAACCAAAATGTTGGCATCGTGACAACACTACTCCTGAAGTGAAACCTGATATTTTAGTAGGTCTGTTAAGTATTGAATGCTGACCATTCTGACGTAATTTGGCCGGTCAAAAGTTGTTTGGGTATCGGATCAAATCCGCTCCGTTACTTTCGTCCCGTGGTTACTTTCGTCCCGTGTTACTTTCGTCCCGTGTTACTTTCGTCCCTGTGTTACTTTCGTCCGTGTTACTTTTCGTCCCGGCTCCCCTACGTGTGTATGTGTGGTGTCAAGTGTCAGTATGAGAGGATGACAGTGCGGTCTAATTTGATGTGGCCCAAGAGCCATCATAATAATACCGGATGCAGGAACCAATCACCTTTGAGGGGGGGAAATCCTATCGTTGATTAAACACTATCCAGTGTTTCCCCTACCATTGTCTTGGAGGGGCGCCCAACAGAGCCCCGCCCCCCCCCTGAAATTCAAGGTGTTTAAATAATATATATATAATTCTTTTTTTTTTAAATATATATAGCACCAAATTGCAAATAATCTGTAACTACTGTCACTTTTCACATTGAACATGTGCTCTTTTATTAAATAAACTAAACGCTTTCATTTTAAGTTGTGAATTTAGTGTTTTTGACCCTAAGAAACACTGATGCATTAATCAATAACACTAATTCACAGCTCCTCTCTCTGCTCCAGAGGATTTAAAATATATATATCCCAATGCCACAAAAATGCATCAGTGACGTGGTTGAAATCTTGTCTCCAGAAAACAAAAAAACTGAACCATGACGTATCAGTGACTGTGTGTTTGATGTGGCTCTTTGCAGTAACAAAGAAAAAATGTGGCTCTTAACCTCTGACTGGTTGGCCACCCCTGCACTAGGACGTCAGCTTTCTGTGACGCAACATGAAAGCAACCAGAAGTGGAATGAAGGCCTATTTGGCTCCTTCTTCTTTACATTGGCTCATCTGGCTCTGTTTCATTTAGCCCTAATTCACGTACTCAGCACTGGAGTTGTGAGACGGTAATTAAATCCTTGAAATAACATCCTGGCTCATATCAAATGCAACTCAAGACTCAAAAACCTTCCAGCAACATGACCTGGGGAAGTTTAAAAAGGCTTATGCAAATGTCCTCTAATGCAGGGGAGGAAAGAGGTGATTACATTCATTTTAAATGACTTGAAAACAGAAAGCACAGTGCTTTTTTCTTTTCTACTCAGTACAAAGAAATGAAAAAAAAAAAAAGAAGGTAATGTTAGTATAAATAGCTTTTTAGCTCTAACAAAACTTTAGCAAGCTTAAAGGAACTTAATTAGGCCTACACATTCCTTATGGGGGCATCACTTTTGTACCTGGAAGGCAACAATGTATGCCTTTTTTTACCTTAAAAACGTATGCTACTATTAATGGAGTCCTATTTCTTTCCTCACTGAACATAAACGTTTACTTTTTTCTCTCTTATTTTATGAGGATGAGACCATATTTCGAGTCGTTTGAATATTCTGTTGGCCTGCTTTCTCTAGTCCCCTTATCAGAATCCCCTACCGCTGCATTTTCTGAGTCTGTCACAGAGTGGCCACAGCATATTATGTCCCTTAATGCTCCACTTCCATTGGCCTAAAAATCCACTGAGCACATCATCTGTTAAGTGCTTCATGTTTATATGTTGCTCTGGGTGATGCTGTGGCGTTGAGTGGAGGCAGAAAATAGGTCACCCTCTGCAAATTAGTGAAGACAGCAGGTGTAACATTGCTGCCATGAGTTATTCAACATTGATGAACAGAAGGCGGTGGATTGAAGGAAGGGGAAATAAGTTGTGTTTAATGTATAGGTGTGTGTGGAACACTGGTAACCTCTTTATTGAGGTAAATCAATATGAGACACAGTGTTCCCAGGGAAGAAAATGAACCCCATTTAACATGTGTGCATGCAAGCATCGTAAGTGCTCACATTAAGGCCCGGACACACCGGGCCGGTTTCGGCCGTCGATAGATGTCTGACCGTCGATGAGCGTCCTGTCGCCCTACTCAGATTGGTGTGTACTGCACCGTCGTGTCTTTTCGGCCGTGACCTTCTGCCCCCGATTGTTGAATCGGGAGGCTGTCGGCAAAATAAATCACTCTGATTGGCTGTTCGGCTTAGCGAATCAGTGGATGAGAAGCGAAACGGAAGTGAAGAAGGCACACACAGACGGCTATTATTTTTCATTTTCCAGTACCGCACTAAACATGTTTTCGATAAGTCGTTATGTGAAACAGTCTGTGATGGACAAGAGTGAAAATGGAACGCACGCTATTTGTTGTTTGTGTATATCACGCAGTCTGTCTTCCGGTTGCCCCTTTTGAATTAAGAATACACGCTACCGCCCCCTGTTGGTAAGGAGAGTTATTGCCATTCACGCATGCGCAGTGCGTACGTGCAACTTGGCTGGTCCGTCGGGACGTGTTCTTTGGTGTCAGTTTGCTAAGTCAGGGCCTTTACGTGTGCATGTTGGCAACGATGTGTTAGAGTACAAAGAGAGATGCAGAGCCTGTGCATGTTTAAAACATCTTATTCATGAGTCTTGTTTAGGTCAAACATGTGCTTTCTCCAGATATAAAGGCTTCTTTGCACTTGGAACTCTTAGCATTTGGCCTAACAGATATTGGTAAGCAAATGCATCTGCCCTCATATAAGGGATTTTTATTGATTTAAAGACCTGTTATGCTCATTTTCAGGTTGATCTTTGTATTTTGTGTCTCTTTAATGTTCAAAAAGCTCTTTATTTTTCTCATACTGTCTGTGCTGCAGCACCTCTTTTCACCCTCTGTCTGAAACCAGAGCCCAGTCTGCTCTGATCGGTTAGCTGGCCGGCTCTGTTGTGATTGGTCAACGGAGATGTGTAGGAAATGTCCCGCCCCGTACAATGTGTTGGCCAATAGAAGAGTGAATACAAGCTTTGGGATTTTAGCCTTTGCATACCATTTTTATGCACACAAACCTATATAACACACTAAAATAGAGGGAAAACCCCAAAAGCACAGTAGGGCCCCTTCAATATTTGTTCATTTCAAAAGTCCAAGTCATATGCAGCTGATTGTGAGAGTGATTCCCCTTCTCAAGCAACTTTCAATCCCAACCAACAGTCTTTACCAGTGGATGACGTTTGCTCGTTTGTCATTAATAGAGTCAGTGGTCTCAGTTTACCTCAGTTTGCCCCTCATCTATAACAACAGCTGAGGTGCCCTTGTGCAAAGCCCTCAGGACTTCAGTATGCTTCAAACTAAAAGTACTTGATGGATCAGAGGCAGGCTCATTTTTTAAATAAGATGGGGGCTGACAAAACCTACCTATGATTTATTATGAGACTAAATAAAACCCCTTTGCCACTTGCCGCTTACTTTGTGCCAAAAACTTGGAAAAGGGCACACTCTAAATGCACTTGAACCATGCACTTCACATCATGTGCTATAAGGTATATCCGTTAAATAGGACGCTTGATGTTTCTGATATTTCCAAGTAGAGTACCATACTAAATGCATTGCAACACTTTTCCCACCTCTCATTAAAACACCTGACCTCCACATGCCTGCCTTTTTCTACTTGGTACACACGCTCGCAGGCCAAGTGGCAAAGGTCACAGATTGTACCCCCTGGAGGACATGGCATATGGGAATGAAGCGAAAATGAAACATGGGGTCTTGAGTTGAGCTTTAATTTCCCTGGGGTTGCGCACGCTACCTCAGGATATCTTCTGATTACAAGTGGAGGGTTAACCCTAATAAATTCCAGGCAGGCACCAGTGATTTCTGACAATGGACGGATAAATGGTGGACGTCGACATCTATGAATGGCCCTGCAGCCCATCAGCAAAAACATACAATAAGCTATGAGGGAGGAGACGTAGGATCAACATTTCACATTCACGAATGCTAACTGAATCATTTGGAGAACACAGAGGTGGGGAAAGAAAAAGGACTGCAAGCAAGGAAGGAAATATATCCTTAGAATAGACATAGTAATTAGCCAATATGTGATGAAAACAGCTGTAAAGAAATATGGGGTCCAATCCACCAACAAAAAGACCTAGTTGGATTTCATTTCCTCCATCCACAAACATCTAAATCTACATGAATAAATAGTCGTCCATTGTCTGTTCATAAGCCTTATAAATGTCCAGGATCAATTACAAATAGCTCGAATATGCTACGACCGCGCTGCATCATGTCAGGAGTAGGGTTGCAGAGGGGCGGAAAGTTTCCGGTAAATTTCCGGAAAGTTTCCATGGGAAGTTAAGCTGGGGAATTTTGGAAATATTCGATGCAAAATTAAACAAAAAAACATGACATTTCAACACATTTTTTGTTTAAATAGAACAGAACAAGTTTTAATTATTTTATTAAACAATTATTTGTTTCATTGAAAAACGAAAACAGGAATGTTGAGTTAAATGTTACTCATCCACCCCAACCCCACTCATTAAAAAATGAACAAAAATGCACCCCATTTTGGCTAAACCCTTTCAGTCAACGGGCTCTTCCTGGGCCTCATCAACATCCAACTCTGAGTCTTCCTCTTCAGTGTCACTGTCCAGCCTTGTTGAGGATGGCTCTGTGTCAGGCTCTAAGAGCCTTAGGTTTGCCCGAAAGCCAACCAGTTTTTCCACTCTCACATTTGTGAGCCTGTTGCGAACCTTTGTGTGGTCTCAATAGCCATGCAGTAAGCAGTGTGCTATGGCATGGATATTCAAGTGTACTTGAATGGCATCTGTTTGTTTTAGTCAAGGATAATGCTAAAATATACTTTCCCAACTATATTTAAATTCCCTATGAAGAGCCAACGTGTCCCCGGCATCCCCCTACGTGCTGTTTTGACGTCACACTTTCAATGCGATCACGGTCTGTCCTCTCGGTGCTAGAGCACGCTGGCGTCTTGTCTGTTGACATGCCGCTTCTACCCCGGACTGTTTCTGGATGGTTTGTTTGTTTTGTTACGGTTCTCTATGCTGGTTTTCGCCGATCCTAGAAGGCTGCTCTTCACTCACCGTTGTGCATCTCTCCAGCTCCGTTTTCCTTCATAGGCTCCCTACTACGGACTGGTATGGCTACGTTAGCCATCAAGCAACAGCTGGCTCCACTCCGTTCACCTTGACTACCGTCTGTATGCTACGTTAGCCACCGAAGCTAAACAGGCTGGGCTCCCGTTCACAATTGGACTACCTGATTACACCACTGGGATTGTTTTTTCCTGCTTTCTGGGTGTGTTGATCGCTGCTCTGGACTGGCGTGGAGGTACGCTGTGTGTTTTGTTGATGTGATTGTGCCAACCTGGACCGATCCTGTTGTGCGCCGTACATCAACAACAACAAACACTCACTCTGCTGGCTGCCCAGCCGGCGTTCTTGCGGGCAGCCTCCACCTCCCCACCCAGCTTCGCTACTGTTTGGGTAGCTAGGTCCAGACATGGTGCCGCAGGGACGGTCTGGGGTAACCAACAACCACACGCATCACTCACCCAACACCTGGTCCACTGCTGCTTCACATATCTCACTGCTCCAACTCCTAGCCATCAGTTAATAACCACTGCAAAACACTACCTTGGCTTACTCTCAATCTGCTGCTACCTTTCATCTGCTGCTTGGACTATCTCTCCCGCTGCTTCAGCCTACTACACCACCAACCTCTCGCCTTCTCATTACACTGCCTGCTGACCTCCAACAGCCTCAACAACAACCATCGTCTCCCTGCTGCTACTGCCACCGCAGGACTAGCGCCGCTGGGATCCTCCGCCGACGCCGGGCTACATCACCGGACGCTGGCCTCCCCCGCAACCGGACACCTCCTGACGGTTCACCCCATCCCCTCACTCTGGACTATCCCCACCCCCGCCATCCCCATCCAACCGCACTGCCAACCTCAACAACCTTCTGTACCCCCTCCCCTGGGGCTCCACCCCCTCGCACTCCTGAACTGCCGGCTCCCTCTCC